CTGCCCGTTGGCCCCCAGGTCACGGTCGGTGGCGCGCACGCGGCAGACCTCGGCCCCCGGCCGGGCGTCCTCGCGCACGGCGGCGCGGTACTCGTCCTGCTCAAAGACCGGGGGATTGTCGTTCTCATCGAGCACGCGTAGCTCCACGCGCAGGGAGCCCACGCGCCGAGGGCGGCCGCCGTCCCACGCCTCGATCTGCAGCTCGTGGGCGGCCGCCGCCTCTCGGTCCAAGCGCCGCAGCAGCACCAGGTCCAGGGGTTCCAGGGGCGACGAGGACGGCGGCGAAGGCGGTGACCCGGGGGTCCCATAGCGCAACTGGAAGAAGGGTCCCGCGGGGTCCTCGGAAAGGTCGGACGGTTGCACCAGGGTGTAGCCCTGTGTGCTGAACAGCCCCGCGTCGGGGTCGTGGGCGCCGGGCAAGCGAAAAGCCGTGCCGGGAGGGCTGAGCTCCGAGACGTCAAGCTGCAGGGAGTCTCGGGGAAAGCGGGGCGAGTGGTCGTTGACGTCGTTGACGCGGATCTCCACCTGCACCACTGCGCCCAGCAGGGTGGCGGCCACGAAGCTGTAGTAGTCCCGCTGCTCGCGGTCCAGACGTCTCGCCGTGCGGATGATGCCCGTGTCCGGATGCACGTGGAAGTCGTCCAGCAGCGGGGAGTCATCTGAATCCTCGGACAGAAAGAAGCCGCCCCCCTCCTGTTGCTGCGCCGCAGGCAGCCCGGCGCGAATGTCACCGACTAGAGTGTCCGGAGGAAGTCCCTCGTCCACGGAAAGGCTGAGGTTGAACACCTGGGCAGAGGAGCCCGAGGCCGCCCACATCCACGCGTGCATGAAGAGCCCGAGCAGGAAGCGCTGCGCCCTGGCGCCACCGCCGCCTCCCGGCCGCCTGCGGGGTGACCCTCGCCTCCCCGCCGGAGCCCCTCGCAGCTGTCGCCCTTCGCCCATCCTCCGCGCTGAAGGGCTCATTGCTCCGCCAGCTCCTTGGGCAGGCTCCCGAGTGGCTTGTGGCAGGATGACAGAAAAATCCAGGAGCCTCTTTAGTGTCTGAGCCAAAGAAGAAAAGACTTTGTTTGGCAAACAAGCCCACAGACCCAGGAGTTCCCGAGGTTACATCTGCAACTGGTGAAAAGGTCCTCCGCCTGCAGCTCGCGCAGAGGGGGACGCTCTGGATGCCACTGCCGCTGCGGCCACCTCTTCAGCCCCAGGATTTCTTTAAACGAGTCTCATCTTTTTCCCCCTCTCCTGTTCCTGGTTCTGCTCGGCTGTTTGTTTCCCCCTGGTAAAGTCAGGTGCATTATTTCATTTGCCAAAACGGATGAAATTATTTAAAGCGCGCGCACGCAGGAGAGGATGGGGGTCGCGCCCGGGAAGGGTGTGGAGTCAAGGCCGGGAGGCCGAGAGGGAAGGTGCCAGGCCGGAGCGAGGGA